TTAAACAATTAACTATATGAGACCGAACGGTTAACATTTATCGAAAAGCAAAGATGAGGAGGCAAGGAAGGGAAGGGAAGCTAAATCAACAGAAACAGAACAAAAAGAATACAAATAATGAGAATGCTAACCCATTGTAAAAATTGCAACCAATGGCACAGAAGAATTTGTATAAAAATTGTTAAAGGGGAATCTAGTTTGCTGTATGGAGCCCTGGTGGTGCAGTGGTTAGGAGCTCAGCTGCTAACCAAAAGGTTGGCATTTCAAATCCATTAGCCGCTGCTTGGAAACCCTATGGGGGCAATTCTGTCCTGTACTGTAGGGTTGCTATGAGTCAGAATTGACTTGACAGAAGCGGGGTTGGTTGGTTGGGTAATTTGCTGTGTAAACTTTCATCTAAAACAGAATAAAATATTATTAAAAAGAACAACAACAAGAACAATCAGGTTGTGTAGCACACACCATCCCTTGTTTTGTTTTATATGACTGATGCTCTATGACAACTTCACAACATAGCTTTCTAAGCTCCTGAATTAATAAGAATTATTGTAAGGATATGTAAATTGCTTTTAATTTGGATACATTACTACTAATAGTGAAAAGACATTTGTTATTTATGAGTTCAAATTCATCAAATTATCAAAACTCTGGTATAAGAGAAACCTCTAGAATTCCTATAGTTGAGAGGAATTAGTCACGTAAATTAAAATTAAGGCAAATATTACATTAACAAGAATAAATATTAGGAATATTACAATGTAGATTATAATTAAATATGACATTGTATCATTTGATATTTCTGTATAGATCTAAGTCCAGTGTGGACTTTAAGGGCCTTGTACATTAGCTCTCCATCAGTAGCTTACTTTTAACACAATCCTATGCCCTGTCAAAAAGCGTAAGTGAAAGAATCATAATAAAGAAGTTGGACTGGGAAAACAATCAATCAATCAATGTCTATTTAGTGCCCAGCCGTTAAGTGGCAAATGTGTAGAAAATATTGTACTGTGAGAATTCAGGGGTAATCAATAGTTCTCAACTAGGTATATATATACCTCAGAATCTCCTGATGATTTTTTTAAAAATAATATTTTATTGTGTTTTAGGTTTAGGTTCCCATTCAACAATTTCTATATAAGTTGTTCAGTGACATTTGTTACATTCTTGACAACGCATGAACATTCTCATTATTTCCATTCTGGTTGTTCTGTTTCCATTAATCTAGTTTCCTGCCCCTTTACAGTCTCATCTTTGTTTTAAAGTAATTATTGATGCTTGGTCTCATATAGGTGATTTTTTAAAGGAGCACCATACTTAGGGGTGATATTCATTATTTTTTTGAGCCAATTTGTTATTTAACTACAAGATGACATCAGGGGTTAGTTTCGGTTCAAGGTTTGAAGAGTATTTCGGAGCAATAGTCTCAGAAACAGTTTCAGTCAGTCCAGTAGGTCTGGGTTTCTTTTTAGGAATTTGAGGTTCTGGTCCACATTTTTCTCCCAGAAACGTAATGTCTGGGGTCTTAAAAGCTTTCTAGTGGCCATCTAAGGTACAACTATTGCTCTCTACTCCCCCAGAGCAAAAAAGAAAGAAGTAAACCAAAGACTCAAGGAAGAAACTAGTCTACAAGATAAGTAGTCTACACAAACCACCACCTAATCCAATCCAAAAAGGCTCTAAAAAAAAAGTCCAGGGCAGAAAGTCGATAGTAAAGGCAAAGAAAGTTTCTGCTAACCCTACCTATTTCTCCCACTTGATCCCAGAGCCACAAACTTTGTGGAAGTAATTCAGGGTAGATCAAAAAATTGAATGGAAAAGCTTCAAATCAGAATACAAGTTATATATACTCTGAGCTAGAACTGGAGCTAAATTGTATCTCTGTTCTTCCACAAGGAACACGCAACCCGTTAAGGTGTGTGCTGACTCTGGCCTCAAATCTTACTCACTAGCTTAATGGCCTCTTCCCTGGAGTAACCCCTAAGGTTTATGTACTAATAATCCCAAGGCAGGAAGTAAAATAACAACAAACAGCAAGACATAGTAAGGAATTACAATAATTACAATTTTTTGAAATGGCTTATAAACTAAGAATTCCTAAGATAGACCAACATCAGCCTCTCTTAGTAAGATGGCTGCTGGAAATGGTTTTTTGAGCAAGGTAGAATAGACTAGAGTGGGTCAAAGAATACCAGTCGAACTGTAGAGTTCTTGCTATCCTTCTGATGTGAGGTGATGAGGGTCAAAGCCAAACTGATTACGTGGTTAATTTTATATCACTGGATATAAAATCCTGACTAATGATTGCAGGATTATAATAGAGAACTGAACTTTTTTTTTAATAAAATAGTTTTACTTTGTATTAAACTTTGTAAATTCTAAAACATTTTATTATTCGACCCTCACAAAAACTTTGTGTGGTTGGGAGAATGGAAGTTATTATTTCAGGTTGATCAAACAGGTAACTGAGATACAGAGTAGTTTAATAAACTAATTCATTCACCATTTATTGACTGCCTACTGTATGCCAGGCACTGTTCTAGTTAGGGTTGTGTATCTTGCTAATGCTTGAGCTAGAGTCAGAATCCTTGATCCACCACTGTTGATGGAAATGTAGTCACGCTGCATTCATTTATGGCTGCTCTCAGTGGGCCACTTGAATACAAAGCCCATGATCTAAGTCTTATGAATATGTATGCTTGGGCATACCAAATAACATAAGTCTTTTAGGTATGACTTGTAAAGGAAAAGTTTTTGTGTTTTGTACACTTGGCAAATGGTATGTTTCATACATTTTCATGGAGCAGGATGATGTATATATATTTAAAATATCTTTGTATATGGATTAAAAAGTCTTAATTACATGACCCACAAGTGGCAAGGTATGTGAGCAACCATGTATAAAATATAATATTTTATGAAATAATTTTAAATTTATAGCTTTATAGCTCAAAGTCTTCGCATTCTTTAAAAAAATTGCAAACAAATTAACAGATGCTTTATACATTAGTCATATAAACAGAGAATGGGCTCTATTAGACACCAATTCAAGAGTTGCTAAAACTCTTTAGATTTTAGAAAAAGATAAAAACAGCCCAGATTTCGTCAAATCCTATTCTGAAACAGGTCTTGAAGTGAAATGTACAGTAATTTCTGGAATGTAAAAGCAGAAGTTATCTTCTACATAGTCTATCCAGTGTTTTTCATAGAAATTAAGTGGCCCAAATCCACTTTAGAATGGATTTAAGAAATTTTCTTCTTTTGACAAGTCTACTGCTAATATGTGTGTAAGTTACAGATGAAGCTCGAGTCTTTTAACAATTTTTGCTAGGGTCTACTTGACTTCATTACTCATATTAGTTGAAAACTCTAGGCATGTGCATATATGCACATACGCCGCTTCCTTGTATGAATACGGAAGAGGGAAGAATTGAAACCTTTGAATTGTGGTGTTGGCGAAGAATATTGAATACACCACGGACTGCCAAAAGAACAAACAAATCTGTCTTGGAAGAAGTACAACCAGAATGCTCCTTAGAAGCAAGGATGGCGAGACTACGTCTTACATACTTCGGACGTGTTGTCAGAAGGGATCAGTCCCTGGAGAAGGACATCATGCTTGGTAGAGGGTCAGCAAAAAAAGAGGAAGACCCTCAAGGAGATGGACTGACACAGTGGCTGCAACAATGGGCTCAAGCATAACAACGATTGTGAGCATGGCCCAGGACTGGGCAGTGTTTCGTTCTGTGGTACATAGGGTCGCTGTAAGTCAGAATCGACTCTATGGCACCTAACAACACTTACATGCATCCGGTTTCTAATTTTTAAATTTTGAAACTGTGTTTTTAGTTATAACGAGATTAACAATTACTAGACAGAGTGGGGCACGAAAAGTATGTTTCCTCAACATCGAGTCCCAATACTACAAGCAAGAGTCACAGGTTTGGAGGTTTGTAACACAGTGCTGTAAACATGGCTTCCATGGTCCCTGTCCACATGGCCTTTCTGCTCTGCCAGGATAGAGTCTTGTTCGTCACATTGCTGATGTGGTCAGACTAGTCAAGTGACTCTGCAGAAAAGGCACATTCCTGAAAGTCAAGCTGATGTGTCTGACCTCTGTTCTTGAGTCACTGTAATTGGCTTTACAGGCCAGGGTAAATAAGTCTTGAGGTCTATAGTGGGGCCAGGATACTAGCATCTGATGCGCCATAAATAAGTCAAGGTCGTGCCACTGCAGGCTTCTTTTTAAGTGGTGATGAACTATGAGGCAAGGTCCTGAAGAAAAGGGTCTTCATTCCTTGACTTAGGCTGGGTGATCTTAAACGTGTTTCTTCTTTTTTTCCATAACTGGATGGGAAACCTGAACCAGGTATGCCTTCGGAGGATTACCTGGGTCAGCCACCTATATGTGAGGTGACACCTTCAGATGAAACATCAAACGCGTGCTGTCACTAGCCAGTCCCAAAATTCACATCGCTCAGCTCCGCACGCTACCCGCCCTGAAATCTCAAGGCCCTTATTCCGGCAATAGCGCCAACTCATGGAAGTCAGGGCGCGTAGGATCCCGCCTCTTTTAGGCCGCGCGCGGAAATCAAACGCGATGCAGACTCCTGGGGGGCCGGGCCGCGCACGCTCCGCTCCCTCGCCCCGGCAAGCCGCGGCCGCCGCCAGCCCGCCGCAAAGCTGGGCGGGGCCGCCTCGAGGCAGCTGAGACTAAAAGGGAGTCGAGGAGGAAGAGGCCGGAGGCGCGCTCTGCGCAGGCGCGCGGCGCCCCGCCTCCCTAGCGTCGGCTCCCGGGCGGGCGGCGCGGACCCGCCCACTCCCCCCGCGCCGCCTCACGGCCCCGTCCCTGGCTTCACCCCGACGCCCTGGTGTGCGCGTCCTCCCGCCGGCCTACAGGCCGGGCGCTTCCGCCTGCCCTGCCGCTGCTCCTCGCGGCCCCAGCTTGCGTTCACGCTGTCGCCCGGGCCAGCGCGGCCGCGGGCAACCGCTCTCCCTCCCACACCTACCCCGCCCCCTCCCAGTCTTTTCCGCTCTCCGGTCCCCCTCCCTCGGCCCGCAGTCGCTTCTCCAGATGAGGTGATGGCATCGTCCAACTTCGGCAAGATCCAGATCGGGATTTACGTGGAGATCAAGCGGAGCGATGGTGAGCGGCGCCGTCGGCCGGCCGGGCCAGCCCCACATTCGGGTGTACACGGAGGGGACGCGGGCGTCGGTCGCCTCAGTGATTGCTCCGTGGGTTGTGGGGGCGGGAAAGGCGGCGGCCGCTGCGCTTTTGTGTGTGGTGTGTGTGTGGGTGAGGCCACCGTGGGGTCCGCTTGGGGCGCCGCTGTGGTGCTGGGGATGGGGAGGGGCCTTGAGGAGGGCTGCGGGGGTCTGGGCTGCGGGGGACGGCGGACGGGGAAGGGGCCTCGGGTGTCGCGGGCTGTGTCTCTGGGGGCTTCAGGCGGGCGCGGAGGCCAGGAAGACGGCCCCTCGCTCCTCCTGCGATCGCCATCCTCGCCGGCTGTTGCAGCCCTGAAGGGAGTGGGCTTCTTGAGGGATGACCCTGCCGCGCGTTTCAGCGCGGCCTTTTCATTATTACTGGCCCCTTTGAACGTTGCGGGTGGGGAGGGTGCAGACCCGTGATTTCAATGTGTAGAGAACCGACTTCTGCTTCAGAGGCTGAGATGGGGGGAAAAGACCAATTCGGTTGGTTTAAACTGCTGTCTGGTTGTCAGGCCTCTTCGGCTGTCGTTTCTGGAGCATGTTTCTTTCTTTCTTTTTGCTAGCCCTTTCTTTGGGAGAAGGATGTAGAGAATGTCGTGCTCAGCCATGAATAAGGATGAGGGAGCAGTGGGAAGAAAATTCCGATAAGCTTCTCAAAGATAATAAGACTGAAAGGGAAGGAGAGGCGACGAGCACCGTCAGTGCGAGGCTTTGCCCAGAGGGTGGGGGTGGGTGACCGGATGTTGATTTTTTCATACCCTCGGGAGAGGTAACAGAAAAGTGTGAGGGGAGGTGAAGACAAATGTTTAATAATAGTGTTTTTTAAAGCTTCAGGCTTATGTATCTTTCTGTAGATTCCTCTTGGGGAAGATGTTTGTTTCAATAACTTGGGGTGGGGAGTGAGGTACGCCGCTAGACTTGGAAATAATCTATGTCGTGAAGGAGAGAAGTAAAATTCTTTTCCTTCGGTCTGAATATTGAAGGAACTAGACTTGTGTTAAATGTTCTTGACTCCACCTCGCTGTACCAGTTTTTTTAATTTATGACTTACTTTCTGTCCCTTAGCCTAGTAAGTAGTAACCTTGCTATCACATCCACATCCTTTTGGTTTCTACCAAGTTTGACCAAGATACGTGAAGCTAGATTTTTTATGTTATCTGTGATATATTGGAAGACCCTATATAGCTGATGGATTTTTTTTCCTTCTTTGTACTTGAGGTCATTTGTGTCAGCAACTGGAAGCATTATTATCCTGTATGTAAAAAGATAAATTAGTGGGAAGGAGATGTCTCCTTTACTTGGGTTGGGGTTTATTTTTTTTTCTCCTCAGATTAACTATTGAAACAGTGCTGTGTCATTTCCTTTTGGGTGAATGAGTTCACTGTATATCAGCAAAAGTAGTATTTATATATTATTTTTAAAACTTTGGGTGCAATAAAATGCGTACTTTTTTACATTATAAACCTTAAACTGTGATTATGTTAACTGTAAAATCTGTTATTGGAAAAAATAGCATTCATATGACATTTGAGAGGATTGTATATTTTCAAGGCATTTTTTCTGAGTTGACGTCTTTTATTTAAATATATTGAGCTTGAAGCAGTATTGGTTCTATTGCAGTTCTAGGGTGGTGGTGTTAATTGCTGTCAAGTCACTTCCTTGAGCCTTATAATATTCTTTCCCCTCTTCAGCCTATACCAGAAATTCTCAGACATACAAGAGTATTGTGTTCTTATATACGTGTTAGTGACCAAAACTCACATTTCAAAAGCAGTTTTCCCGTAAGAAGTAGCGGTAAATAATGGAAATCTTTACATATTTATGGGCCTTGGATGCATGATGGAGTTGGTAGAAGACAAAAGATTAAGTTGAGAACTTGAAAGGAATAATCATTTGCATTAGATGATGGTGTTTCACAGTAGAAACTGGTATCTCAGAGACCTCCCTCAAGCTTTTCCTTTTTCCTTTAAAAGACACTGTTTTGCTTCCTCCCACTTCTACAGCAGATCTGTGTTGGGTGAAACACTAGTGGTTGTTGTAACTAAAATAAACTTTACCGTTTGATGAGCACTAACGCCTGAAGACAGTAGAAATCACATGAGTGAAGTAGGGCTGCTTCAGATGGCTGTTAACTGCTTATTTGATACTCTGCATGCTTGCTAATGGTGATCCTTGTCCTTATTTCAGACCATGCTTTTCCATTAGTGATGCTTATATGTTATTATGGCATATTCCAAGGGCAAACAGGTAAACTTAAGAAGGACTTATTCTTACCTTTCAAGACTCTGCTCAAAATCTAATCCCAGTAAGTCTTCATAGTACTAAAACCAGATGGCCAGCCTGCCTCACACTTCTTAAGTCACTTTGTACCATTCACTAGATAACATATTTTCGTGAGTATTAGTATCTGGGTAAATTTCTCTTAATATTATGTTTTCAAACTATACTAGGGGAGGGGTGGTATGGAGAATGCAGTGGTGGAGGGATGGCAGGCTACCCATAGCCACTTGAGCCAGAGACCAGATGTTACAGGATTATACCTATAATAGACTGTTAATTTCCCTGTATTCCCCTTACGTGCCTAGCAGAGTTCCTTGCATTTGTTTTTCAGTGAATCATCCATTATTGGATTTTTTGTTTTCAAACATTATTTTAATTAACCACTCAGATGAAATCTTACTAGGAAGTGAAACTTCCACCTGGACTCATTCTGTACTGCTACCAGTCTACTCTGGACCCCCACTCTCCACATTGACCCCTTAGTTCAGGATCCCCAGATTCCACTGAAATTGAGTGATCTGCTAAGGCTAATTTGAGTTTTATGGTATTCTAAGGTGAGAGATGACTGGAGTTAGGCTTGGACTCCTGAGATTGTTCCCAGCCATAGGTGATAACCTGGTATGAAATTGGATTGGTTTCTGGAAATGAGTACTCATGTATAATTTATTCTCTTGTATTTGTCTATTACCTTTCTGATTCAATTCCTTTTTGAAGTCCAGTGACTCTAAAAACTACAGTATTACTGTTGTGTAGCTAGTCTTATTGGCAGATTTTAAAAACTGTACTGTTAAAACATTTCTTACTGGTTGTACACTATTTGATATTTTAAAGCTGCAGCTAAGATGGGATTATTTTGGGGGTCTTTTAGTCACAGTATTGAGATACATGAACTGAAGGAAATCAGAATATCTGAACTAGAAGGATTCTTGGAGATAATCTAGTTGTCATTTTTACAAAGGTGGAAACTTAATCTCAAATTATAAGTGAATTGTCTAGATTTATACAGCTTGTTAATGACAGCCACATATGTCTTGCATAGCATAGAAACTAGACTATTAACTATAGCAGTAAAGAGAGAATTCTCTGTTATTTCAGAAACATACTGTTTTTGTTTTCTACAGCAGATAAAGGTGTAGGAGATTAACTTCTCATTTGGGAAAGCCACCAGAGAGCAGTGTTAGAGAGCTTGATTGGAATGATCCCTGGTAGAAGGTGATACAGTATCGTTACTAGAAGGTCACCAAACCAAGAATAACTTTGTAGGACTGTGGAAGGAAAATATTGCTGTTTCTTAATTATACATTAGTGGAAAAGTTTTTTTGATTAGCCCTGAAATCCATGGGAAATCGAAGATTTCAAAGAAATTATTAGTTGGAAATTTTGGAGCTTAAGGCAGATAATCTTTAGAAAAGGTTTTAAATGGCCTAATTCTCATATGGGAATTCCAGAACACTTAATTGTGCTCATGCAGAACCTGTACATTGACCAAGAGACAGTCATTCGAATAAAACGGGGATACTGCATGGTTTAAAATCAGGAAAGATGTGTGTCAGGGTTGTATCTTTTCATCATACTTATTCAATCTGTATGCTGAGCAAACAATCCAAGAAGCTGGACTATATGAAGAACGATGCGGCATCAGGATTGGAGGAAGACTCATTAACAACCTGCATTATGCAAATGACACAACCTTGTTTGCTGAGAGTGAAGAGGACTTGAAGCACTTACTGAGGAAGATCAAAGACTGCGGCCTTCAGTACGGATTACACCTCAACATAAAGAAACAAATCTTCACAACTAGACCAATAAGCGACATCGGGATAAACAGAGAAAGATAGAAGTTGTCAAGGATTTTGTTTTACTTGGATCCACAGTCAATGCCCATGGAAGCAGCAGTCAAGAAATCAGATGACGTACTGCATGGGGCACATTTGCTGCAAAAGACCTCATTAAAGTATTAAAAAGCAAAGATGTCACTTTGAGGACTAAGGTGCACCTGACCCAAGGCGTGGTATTTTTAGTTGCCTCATATGCATGCGAAAGCTGGACAGTGAATAAGGAAGACCAAAGCAGAACTGATACATTTGAATTATGGTTTTGGCAAAGAATATTGAATATACCATGGTGTCCCAGAAGAATGAACAAATTTATCTTGGAAAAAGTACAGCCAGAATGCTCCTTAGAAGGGAGGATGGTGAGGCTTCTTCTCACATACTTTGGACATGTTATCAGGAGGCACCAGTTCCTAGAGAAGGACATCATGCTTGGTAAAACAGAGGGTCAGCAAAAAAGAGGAAGACCCTCAAGGAGATGAATTGACACAGTGGCTGCAACAGTGGGCTCTAACATAGCAATGATTGTGAGGATGGCACAGGACTGGGCAGCGTGTTGTTCTGTTGTACATAAGGTCTCTATGAGTCAGAACCAACTCGGTGGCACCTAACAACAACAATTCTGCACATACTTTGCAACATTCAATCTTCTGCTAATTCATCTCTATGTTAGTATTATGTAGGTTTTTGGCGAATAGAGTGTGTATTTAGGTAATAAAAATGAACCATATAGCAATTTACTGTTTTTAGGTTCAGTTTTGTGACTCTGATTATGAGGATGGGATGGGAGAATTTATGGATTAATAATATCCTTTTACATGATGAC